AACAATATTTTCGCAGGACCTTGAGATTAAATCTTATCTAACAATGCGTACAATATAATAGAGTTATACGGTGGAGAAAGGTAAACATTGACAATAATATATCTCTGCATCCACATGGTCAACACTAAAATAACAAATTTGCCATTAGGATCAGTGTGAATCTCCTCAATAGTGCATGGCAAAGATTTGTGAAGCAGAAGCTGACACTTCCCTCGAGTATGCAGAATGCGAAGCATGAAATTACCTCTGTACCCATGGGCGTCTCAAGGCCAGCAACCTATTACCCACTAGGTGGGTCTCTTGCAAAAGTAGAATGTGTAGATTATGTTGTCTAACATACTTAAACATCAGTGCTCACTTGAATTTGGAGTTGAGACCCCTGATATTCCAGGAGAGGATTTTAATCTCTTCCACACTCCGCACACTCATGAGGGAAAAAAACAAACATGGAACTGAGGCCACACCCCTAAGCCCCGTATATCTTCGCCGTTCCCACCAGCAATGTCATACAGAAGCATTTGCAGTCTTAGCATGTGAGCCAACCACCTGTAGCGAAAAAAACATCCAACCAGTAGAAAAAAACAGCCCCGAACCCACCATGCCAGTCCAACACATAACCCCAACAGCTCTCAGAGCAAAGTGTGTCAGGAGGCTTAGGATCCCCAAAAAAGTAAACGGAGTCAAAACGGAGACAAAAACAAAACAGTCTGCTAGGGCAGTGTAGTATCCCGACTAGAACTTCTCCAAGTACTTAAAATCCAGGACTGCTCCTGCTCCCATTGCTGGGGTGCTGATTAAACTGAGTGAGCCAAAAGCAGCTTGAAACGATGAATGTAGGCTTACCATGAGGAAGCCACCTCTGGGTCAGGCGTCCGTCAGGTGTAGTCCAGCCAGGCTGCAGCCGCTGCGGGGGTATCAAAGAAGCGAGTGGTGGCGCCATCACTCACCCGCAGGCGACTGGGATATAGGAGGCCATATTGCAAACCCTTCTCCCGGAGCCTCTTACAAACTTCTGTATAGGATATGCGCCGTTGCTGTATTTCAGCCGAATAATCAGGATACAAGGAGACACGGGCATTTTCATAGAGTAGTGTAGTATGACCTCTAGCTGCAGCCAAACTACAGAACCCTGTAGTTTAGCAGCCTAATCAGGAACGGTCAGGCCGGAGCCCCCGGTTTCAGCGGGACGAGCGGCACGCGATGCACTCTCTCCACCACGAAAGTCGGTGGTAGGTCACGCAGGTCAAGCAGCTTAGCCAGAAAGGTATCTGCGAATTCGGCCGGTGTTTTCCCCTCTGCACATTCCGGGAGGCCCAGCACGCGGATGTTGTTGCGGCGTAGCCAGTTTTTGTGAAACCACCACCTTTTCCTGTAGGCCCTGGAGCTGCCGTTGTACCTCAGTCGAGTCCGTCCGCGTGGTCTCCTGCACCTGAGAAATCCGGGCCTCCGCCTCCCCATGTGCGTCCGAAATTCATCCAGGTCATGGCGCAGGAAACTCACATCAGCTGAAAGAGAGTCGATTTTATTTGTGAGTGCCTCTTTACAGGATGTGATGGCCGCCAGGATGTCAGAGCTAGTTGGAGAGTCAGACGGATCATCCGCGCTGCTCGTCTGCGTGCTCACCGACATCTTGCTGCATTCAGCCAGCACAGCCAAGATGGCCGCCTCCAAGACACCACGAGGCCTGCCTCCCGAGGAACGAGTCGATTTGCTCTTATTGCGCTGCATACAGCCTGCTTCTGATGAAGCGATCCAAGTCAGGAGATGTTCCGGCTCACCTGACCCCAGGTAGGTAACGAAAAATCAACACCAGGATAGTAGCAGGATATTATATAGAGCGGAGCTACCCGGGGCGCATGTCTACTCGAGATCACATGCTGGCCACGCCCAATAGTTACATATTTAGTTTAAAAAGAAGACAAATGTCTATCAAGTTCAATCAAAAGTCTAAAAAATAAATAGAAACCTGCATTCTTGTAGCTCTCTACTCTCAGTTGGTCCAGAGGAAAGCAGGAAACTTGTATAAAGCATGGTCCAATTTGCTCCAATGAGGGAAAAATATTTTCTTTTTCACGATAATTAATACTTCCAAGATCAATAATCTACAGTGGTATTACTTATAAATATTATCACTCTACACTCTACACACTGGGCTAGAATGAGCTCCTATGAAGATTATTCCACACTATCTCAGCTATTGCTGTAGAGAAGCCTCTATGAATGTGAAGGTTAAAAGGAGAACTATGGGGTTAGGGCTTTTCCCCATAGTTCTCCTTAGGGTAACGGGAGGACACAAACTAGCGTCCTCCCGTCAGCCTAAGCTCAGTATACCGCGAGCTACAGCTCGCGGCATACTGAGACGCCGCAGCTGAAGCAGATCCCGACAATTATGTCTGGATCCACCCAGCTGCGTGGGTGACAGCTGGCTCTGCCTATCTAGAGGCAGAGCCAGCTGTACCCGCCCCCTCCCCCGTCCGTTCCGCCAGTCAGCGCTGGAGGATCTGAGCGGGGAGGCGGGAATCCAGCCACTCCCCTGTCACGGCAGAGAACTGTGACAGGATCGAGACGTGAGCGAACGTCGGTATGTGTTCGCTCACTTCCCGATCTACTGAGCCGACCTGCGACAGTCTCATTGTCACAGGTCGGCTAGAACTATGAGGTGAGTGAAAAGCACTCACCTCATAGTTCTCCTTTAAACCTATTTTGTACCAGGCAAAAAGTATTTCCAACAAAAATTATAACAGGAGTACTATTCCTTACTTGACTCAGAATGCAACCAAATATTAGATATAAGGTATAAAGGTCTTGGGGAACAATCTCCTAAATATGTCTCTAAACTCGTAGAGTCTTTAATTGTAAATTATATCCCAAATATTCAAGTTGTAGTACAGTATCATACATTTTCCCTTGTATATGAAAAATATAATCCCTTCATCTTTCTTTTAAAAAAATTAATACTATACAACTAGCAGAATAAACATTTGTATATGTTTATAAACAAAAAATACATATTTGCTACAATAATCCATAATCTATCAATTATTTGCTACTAGTGGCACTTTTTGGAAAACTATGTTAAAGACCCAAAAGGGTCAAATATTTTGAGGGGGATTTCTTAAAAATTATAACATATTTATTTGTGCCGTGGGCACATTAACACCTAAGGTACTTAGCACAGGCATTAAAATTGTTTTATAAGCTTAGTCACTGCATTTTTTAGCTATTACCACTAGATGGCAAGTTTGATTCTAAAGCAAAATTTAGTAATGTTATTAAATGTTTAAATATATCTTTTTATATATGATCAATAATAAACATATTTTTAGAATTTTGTTTTAATTACAATAGTAATTAATAGGTAATGTTACAGATAGCATATCTAATTTGTTTAGGCATTGTGTGTGTGAAACTGTCCTTTTACATTTACTGATATGTATTTAAAGTGTCTGTAAACCCAAAAAATCTGTAAAATGGCTAAAATGTGTAAGATATTGTTTAATATACTTGTGTTCTTTGTTTTTTAAAGATAGTTTTACTATAAGTATGAAATACCAATTAATGCACCAGTTTCTCTAACTTCCAGCTTTAGGGTTCCTATGCTATCTACAGAGTGTGTTTAGCATCGTCACCCTGGAGCAAGCTGTGCTACACATGGGGTAAACTCTCCTTCCCTCCGGCAGCAGCTCATGTCGCAGGCAGCCATACTTGTGGAAGTGATTTTAGCTCAATGGTTAAAAGTGGCTCTTGTAATTTGCAAGTGCAAATTATAGTAAAGTAGATGTCACCAGCACATATGGCACGCTAAATCCCACCTACCTCCATAGACCCCGCAGAAAAGAAAGAGAGTGGTCACATGACTGCCCAAAGGGAGTGAATGGGGTATTTTACTTTTCTTGTTAAAATGTAAAAAATAAAATTACACACACGCGCAAATCATTTTGACCATTCCCCAATACACTTGCTTTGTAGCGTGCCAAAGTGCATGATAACACTCAGTAGTTCATTGCCATGCATTGTGCCAAAAAAAGGGTTATGTCCAATTATTTGGGGTGTGTTGAAAGTCCAATCAAAATAAATAGGCTAACTTAATAAATTGCATGTAAAGACACAGTACCGCACCTCACGTACGTATATAAATGGGCCCTAAGAGCTTTTCTCTCCAGGCAATGCTTATTGGAATGCTACCTATAGTAGAAATTAATTTTTCCATAAAAGTCTAAATGATATACATTTATATTATCTTTCAAAATTGTCATGTCATTAGACAAGGATGAAGGTGTGGTGAATGTTATTTCGAACCAAATTATTTCTAGCTCAGTTTGTAGACAGTAGATAGTGCTATGTCATCGCAGATGGAGCATCCTTTCAGATTTGACATAATGAATATGAAAGAGCTGTATTATATTAAATACCTACATTGCATTTTGAAACATTTAGTTTTAAATTTAAAGTACATTTAAAGGTTTTTCAGATAAAGTAGAAATAACTATGAAATGTTTATTATTAAATATTTAAACATGTACTTTTTATGATAATTATAGTGATCTTTTGTGTGAAATAATATTAGTTTAATAAATGCGAATTATGCCTTATATAATAATCACCCCTCACATACACTCAAATCGAGACAGAGTTTCAGGATTATGTAAGACTTTCCTGGGTAGTAATGTTAAAGGACAAAGGTACATAAAAAGGACACAGAAAATAATTTCCTCAGAAAATATTTTTCAAAGTGTTATTAATTTAGTTTTCTAGCATTTTCTGCATTCAATATTTCTCATACATACTAGAAACAGAAAATATATGCAAGAAGGTACATTTATGGTTTTATACTATCATGCAAAAATGTTATAATATATATTTTTACCATTTGATTAGGATACTGTAAAAACAAAAGTAACATAGATAAGTTATATATACACAGGCATTTTTGCAAAGAACTATGGTAAAATACTAATAATAAAATTTCTCACATATACATATTTATTTATAAATCTTACCTAGTTGCAGAGCCATAGCAATGATAACTGTCCACGATAAGTACTGCATGTTTTCAAAAGGTCTAACTTCTTCTTTTTTTTTTTTTTATTCAATCAAAACTATTTCCTAGTAATGTGTCAATCCCATCAGTGGAAAGGAAAATCTAAATTTTAAAATGACTGCTGGAAAACTATACATATCCTTGTCACTTTACTATCTTCTCTGTGTGTTTTTCTAAAGTAGAAAAAGCCACATGATGTTTTAAATGTTAGAGGGGAAACAACACAACAGCTGCTAAATCTCATTGGAATAAACCATTCTCTCCTGCCTTCACCCTCTAGCTCTAATAAACAACCTAAAGCCGATTAACCCATTCATGCATGAAGACTTAGCAACACATCCCTAAACACAACATGGAAAGTGTGTAAAACCAAAAACTAATTTTGAGATTAACAATTATGTAATAAGTATTTTTAATCAATTTTATCTGATTAACTTTTATTCTGACACCTCCACATTAACAACCAAGTAAGCAAATAGCAAACATTAATGTGATCTCTTGTCAACTATGTAATAGGTCTTGTGATCTAATCAACTCCATTAAAAAAAAAAAGTTTCTGATTGAAGCAATTTGAATTAATTCAAACTTGATTAATCCAACTGTAAATACTATTTTTTGGCTGTTTGTTTTGGTGGGGGGGGTGCTTTTTTATTTCATGGTTTTCATTTGTTTTTCTTTCAGTTAGGTTCAAGAAAAGGGGGTGTAGTGTTTAGTAAAAAAGTGTTTAAGGACTGTGCATGTACTCACTAGAATATCTGGGGGTTTTTTAGTAAAAAATAAATATGATACACTAATGTTGATTTTTTTAAAATTAAAAGCTGGTTGGTGTGGGTCCAGTTTACAAAGCAGCTGAGTCAAAGTGTTAAAAGACCATGCAGGTACTAAGTACAATATTACGGGACATTTTTTTCCAGTAAAATAAATATACCATAATGTTGATTGTTTAATTAAAAGTTGTCTGGTGTGGGTCCTGTTGGCAGAACAGCCTAGTCAAAGTGTTTACAAACTGTGCAGCTACTCAGTACAATACATTGGGGGCTTTTTACAGTGAAATAAATACAATCAAATGTTGATTTGTTGATTCATTAATGGGCAATGTGGGTCCTGTTGACAAAGTGGACTAGCCAAAATGTTTAAAGACTGTGCACCTACTCACAACAATATTTTGGGGGATTTTTACACTGAAATAAATACACAATCATGCTAATTTTTTTATAGTTGGCTGGTGTTGGGCCTGTTTATGGGTTGGCATGTAGGCAATGGAGTATTTTGAGGGCTTCTTTCTGCTAAATATTTGCACTCTCTAATGTTAATTTCTTAATTTTAAAATGGATGGCATGGGTCCTGTTTGAAACGAGGCCTAGTATGATTGATTACATATGATGCATATAGGCACCACATTATTTTGGGGATCATTGGGGAAGTTTCATCAGATATGTCCACTATTTTTAGATTTTTTTCTGTGAAACCTGTCTGGGTTCTCCCTCTTAAATTAAGGTGAGTTTGTACTATATTTCTGGCTGTTGTCTCTGAAGTAATCAACTGTAATTTTTAAATATAATTTTAATATTTTGTGTATTATTGTTTAAATGATAACTTTTATCTTTGTGTTAATTAATCTGCATCAGACAGTTGCTAACAGTCTGATCATGCTTTGAATCTCTTCTCTGGAAAAACTAAAAACACTTTGCACCCAAAAATCAAACATTCCCACCCCAGGTTACTAAAACCTTTTCAGTCACAAATTCACCCAGCTGGGTTCTAAGATCCCTTGAACATGACATGTGCAGCAGGGCAGGCTAGTACCTAAAAAGCAGTTGGACTACCTCCAGCCAGTGGTCCAGCATGTGCATTCAAATATTAGCTAATGTAATTGCATGTAAACATCTTATTTACAGCTTGCCGTCCCTGCCTGCCTTTTTTGTGGAAAAAGGCAGGGACGGCCTTACAATAAAAAAACATGCTCATTTTTGCTTCAACTGGTAAGGAAGACCTTACAATATAAAAAAAAAACTAACCCCCCCCCCCCCAAAAAAAACATAAACAATAAAAAGTGCAGCACACATGGGGCAGCATTAACAGTGTCAGGAATAAGTAGCAAACCCAACTTGTGTTCGGGCGACCAGCCTATGTTTGGTTTTTGCTTTCAGATCTGTTGTGGCTGCTACTCCAACAGGTCAAGTTACCGCTGGTTGAAAAAAAATCAAGTGTTGTATCCAAATCTACCTTAGTTTAATACATCAGATTGGGGTACTGCTGCTGCTGCTGCTATATTAAAGCCAAGCAATAATGAAAAAGTAAAAAATATACCAGTCATGCAAATTATGTGATACCAGAATGCAGTGATGTTGACACGGTCTGTGAGAATCATATTGTTCTGTAATACCACATACAGCTTAAAGGCATCTACCAAGCATGTAAATTAAAGGATTAGTGTTTTCCCAATGTTGCCTTCTAAGTATAAAAAGGAGGGCCCTACCCCTGCTGAATGGCACTTTTTATTTTTCTTTATTTTTTTTTTGCATTGGACATGCTCCCCAGAGCAGTGCCCAGCTCTCCATGCCCTGTTCAGCAATTCTTTGCCTATTAGCCTTAAAAATGTCCAGGTAACCTTAGGCTTCAGTGGGGCTCAAATTAAGTTCACAATTTTCAAGATTTATGATGGGTTCAACATGAAACGAACCCACGCACACTCACTCATCCCTGCTTGGAATTACCCTATAATAATGGAAACAAGGTAACATCGTTCAGTGTATTTTGTGCATGTAGTTTCACTAATAAATCACTAGCATCTATAATAAATAACCTTTGTTTCCTGAATACAGTTCAGAAGTTTGGCAATGAACAAACATCCCGAAACAATGTGGCATCTAGGAGGATGCTCCAGATTTTGATGCATTTTCAAGTATTTAGGCTCAAGACCACTGTGTGGGAAGGTTGTAAACATCCCAACAATTCTCTGATAATCAGTCTCTCTCATATTTTTTCCCCATGAAGGTTCACCTGACTATGGCTGTGTCATGCAATCAATCACATGTTTCACATTTATATTACTGCCTTTTCATTAAAACAGGGGATACCCCTTGTTTTCTATTGTAGGGATGTCGTGTTTTCCCTAAATTCATTTGTCCATTGTGATTTGTCAGTGTAGAATTAGTTAGCTTAGCTGTGCTGGCTAGTGTACTCTGAATGACCGATCTGAAGTGAAGTGAGCCGAACACTGTTCGGCTATTCACTTCAGGCTGGTACGGCTAATTTCAGCCGTACATTGACTGAAATCAGCCGTACATCGGCTTGCTTCGTGTGGGTTCGGGTCAGCCGAACATGCTCAGCATGTTCGGCCAGTGTCCCTGGTTAGCAGGTAACCAGGGACGCTGATCTCACTGCAAGTGGCCGAAGCTGGCCGTAAGATCACGGCTGGCTCCGCCTAGCTGTCAGAAGCAGGCCGAGCAGCCGGCCAATGGCCTGCCGCTCGGCCAGCTTCGGCTTTCAGCACGGCTCAGCCGAGCCGATGCATATGCGTTCAGCTTGGCTGAGCCGATCGGCCATGATCGGGAGCTGTACAGGCTATTGTGAATAGCCCGTACAGCACCCCTTCGGTTCTACTGAACCGAAGGGGTCCTGGAGCCGAAGCTAGCCGAAGGATCGGCCGAAGCTACGGCCAGATCCTTCGGCAGCTTCGTGAATAGACCCCTAAGTGTGCAGTGATTATTTTCAGTCACCTGCTGTGCTGAGTGTTCACCAGAAGAGCATGCTAGACACAATGCTTCACATTATTGATTAATACCTGGCCAAATAGTAGGTCTGGGGAGCCTGCTGTGCATGCTGGGAGAGCTACACTGAGGCACTTTCTATTACAGTGTCTTCACTCCAGGGTTTCACCCTTGGGCCTTGTTCACACCAAATGCAGAACAGATCTGCATGAGGCTGGTCATGCTCAGGCAGCGGCAGCCTCCTAACAGGCAAATTAGACAGCCGCTCGCTGGGGCCTCACTGGGTCCTAGCAAGGAGGAAGTGGCTGTTTAATATGCCTGTTAGCGGGCTCCTGCTGCCTGATCGTGACCGTCCCGGATCGCATACCGAGGCGGCGATCCAGGGCGGTCTGACTTTTTCTTAGAGGTGGCCCGAACCTGGGCTTGCGTGCCAGCCGAGAGAGCCCTGCGTGCCCTCTCTGGCACGCGTGCCATAGATTCGCCACCACTGACCTAAGCTATGAGACAAGGTTACTAAATGTAACCCCTTTGTGACGGGAGACGTACAGTGTACGTCCTGGCACTTTCTGCCTATATGACTGTTATATCAGGCTTTGTAATGCTGCTAACAGCTGATTCTCCGCAGTTACCAGTCATTAAAGAATGCCTCAGTATTGAGGCATTCATTAATTAAATAATTAAGCTTTTTGTAAAAGCTTCTTCCTTTCAGTAATGAAAGAATGAAGCCGTTACATGCAAATACAGGACGGCAATTTGCGATCCTGTATTTGACAGCTGAAAATAGCAGAGAGATAGCAGTGACTCACCTCTCTGCTATTTGTTCTGACAGTTCGAGAGCCCGATGTTTAGATACATTTCACTCAAAGATACAATGTATATCTTTTGAGTGAAATGTATCATCTGATCGTCTAGGCACGATCAAAGAGCTTTTAGTGAGATCTGAATCTGACTAAAGTCAGGATCAGTCTCTAAGGTTATTATTAGCTGTCTAATAGCCAAAAAAAATTAAAAGTTAATTTATCAGGCAGTCCTAGTGATTGCTTGATATAAACTGACAAGAAAGACAAAAAGTTTTTTTTGTTTTTTTTTACAAAGTGTAAAAAAAATTAAATAAAGTGTAAAACAAAATTAGGAAAAATCAAAATTATATATAAATATATTTGTTATACTATAATTAATATAAAAAAAATCTTAAAAAATAATAATAATCAAAACTTGTGAAAAAATTGTTTTCTTCTAGTTTTTTCCCCTAATTTTTTTTATTGTATTCAAACTAAGTGAGGGGTTAGGTACACATATGTGATATAATTATATAGCCCTATCTGTCCTCTAAAAAACAATATATAATATGTGTAGGTACATTTAGTAAGAAAGTATATTACTGCTGTGGAAGAATCACACAGCAAAAATGTAAAAAGTGTGTCAGTCATTTATGAACAGAAACTGAAAACTAGCTCAGTCATGAAGGGGTTAAACTTGTTCACGCTAGAAGTGAGTCGATTAAGAGGGGACAT